GTGGTGTGGTGTGGTATGTAGTGTGTGTGTGTGTGTGTGTGTGTGTGTGTGTAGTGTGCGTCTCCAGCCTGCCACTCGCTGCTCTGCTAACGGTGACAGGGTCAGGGAGGAATTTTCTGTGACTAATTAGGTTTCAACTTGCCAGAGAGAAGGTGGACACTGGCAGCCGACTGCAGGAGAGTGCACCGGAGTTTGAACTGGAGTGAACTTAATTTCCTTTGCACTGAAAGGAAAGAAAGATTAATGAAATATCCCCAAATCCATCCTGTTAGTTTTTATTAAATCAGCAAATGAAATTTAACCTCCGATTCTGTTAGAACGTCCCTTCCTGGAGATTGGGTTTCAGCGGCCCAGTGAGAGGGACGCGCTCCCTCTAGAGCGACACTGCAGTCCACGCCGGGTTACCAGGGAACAAGCCACTAGGAAAGCAATTAATTCCACAAAGAGCAGAGTGACACATTCGTTGCCTTGAATTTACAAGAGCCACAATGTTCTCATTAAGCCTCGGAGCCCTCCGTGAGGTTCAGAAAAGAAGAAGAGAAAGAAATCCGCTGCTCTCGGGTCATAGCAGCCTCAATACTTTTATCTTCAACACGGGGGAGGATAGAGGGGACAGAGGACAGGCACGGTTACCTCCCATGCACCCGCTGCTGTGTGCCAGGCCCGGTTGCCCCGCGGCCACGCGCCATGCCTGGTGGGGACAGGAAGAGGAAGCAGCCCGAGGAGGGCCAAGGGCGTGCGGAGGTCAGAGGGCCCTTGGCAGCCCCCATGACATTTATGGGACCAACAGTGGCGGGCTGAGCACCCCCAGGGCAGGTGCCCTGCTGGCCTCGGGAGCCCTTGGCACCCGTGTGCTGTGGACAGTGGCTCCTGACAGCCCTGGGCCACCCTGAACTGCTCACCCTCACCCCACACGGCCTCAGTGTGGCCCCGAGAGGGGCTGCTGATGCCCTTTTGGAGTTTCAGAGGAGGGACGTCACAGTCCCCAGCCACCAAGAGTAGATGGTGGTGCTGGAGCTGAGTGCCCAGCTCCGGCCTCTAAGTCCAGGGCAGTAAAGCCCGGGCCCCCAGCGCCCAGTACCTCCATGTCCTGCGGGTGCTGCGATAAGGACAGACGCAGAACCCCATGCTCACCCCAGAGACGGCTCTCAAGAGAGCCACACGGCGAAGCCCGTTTCCTCCTGTCTTTCTGCTGTTACTGGGATGAAGGAAAGAAGTACAAACGTGTCCAGATACCAGGCCTTTGGGACTCCAAGGCTCCCAGCTGCCGGACAAGGGAGACCATGGACCCTCTCTCTGGGTGGGGAGATTGACAGGGATGTCACCTGGGTCCCTATCACTCAATGACCTCTGCTCGGAGGTGGGCTCTGTGAGCCCGAGGGCACCAGTCAGCAGGCTGCCCCCAGCCAGGTTCCCACCTGGACTTGGGACTCCTGCCTGCCGCTGGCTTCCCCCCTGAGCCTTGGTTCTCTCATCTGGGAACTAGCGACCATGACTGGCCCCTTCTCGCCAGGCGGTTGTCAGGGCTAACTGAGGGGGTAAATGCAAGCTCTTGGCGTAACCCAGGCACACAGTAGATGCTCAATAAAGGGGGACTATGATGTCCTTCCAAGCATGAGAATTCACGCAGAACTGACGTGGAACCCCGAACGTTCTTAACACCTTGTTTCAGGGCCTCCCGGAAACTGCCCTCCAGCGCAGCTGACACCCTCCGAACCCAGACGCACAGGAGACCCTGCAGATCTCCAAGTGCCCATTTTGGGCCCCATGGAAACTCGATTAGCCCCATAAACTATTGGAAGCGATAGGCAAGAGGGAGCCCCTTGGCCAAGGCTCCCCCGGCCCATCCTCTGGAATTGATTACTCCGCGCCTTCCAGAGAGGCAGAAGGAAACCGCGCCAGGGCGAGGGACCAGGGGGCCGGCTCAGGTTTCTCATCCAGCAGCCCCCGCTCCCCCACCCCGGAACAAAGTCTTCTCCAGCTTTTAGTAAACTTAACTTGACAATCGTCAGAGGGAATCAAACAGCCCAGAAACGAAGCCTCTAAAAGATGTCAGAAGAAGTCAGAGTCAGTGGAGATCCACGGAGCGGCCCCCGCCCCGCCCCCGCCCCTGAATTAGTATTTACGTCTTTTGGAACAGGCTCCAGGGGCTGGTTATTTAACTTGCTGGCGAGAAGGCCTTCAGGAAGGGCACTGGTGTTGACTCTGGGTCTTCCCCCCTCGCCTCCTCAGTGTGATCTCCAGCCTTAATCTGAAGGTTATCAGGAAGGCGCCAATTAGCAGCAATGCCCCCTCCCGTCCCCCTGGCAGGAGAGAACCCCTTAGAAGGTAGGTAATTAGCTGGAGGCGCTGCTCTGGTCTCTGCAGGCGGAGGCTGGGAGCTGGCCCAGGACCACCAACAGACTGAGAGGCTGCCTGGTGTGTGTCCCTAATGCACCCTGGTGTCCACCAGCTAAGGGGATTGTCCCCACCCCCTCGGCTCATTAATGGCTCCAGCTGGGGGCTTCTGTCCACACAATGCCTCTTTACAGCACAGGATTTAGCACTGAATAGGCCCAGGCGCATCCTCAACCTCTGTGCACAGCTGCCTTGTGGCGACCACACCACAATCAAGGTCCCAAATCTCTCGGCTCATTCACAGGGTGACCAGATTCCTGGGCCCAAGTCCTGATGGGGACGGAGGGGGGCGCAGTTCATCTTGGTTGATCAACTTTGCCTGCCAAGTGTTGGGCGGAGTAATTCATCCATGCTTTTTAATTTAATCCTCTATAAAGACCCTCCCACATCTTTGCAGCTCCACCCCCATTTCTGGGCAGATGAAGGCCCCGGGTAGCTCCATGTGGCTGTCCCCAGATGAGCACTTTGGACTGCACAGGGAAGCTCAGACGCTTCTGCCCCTCATGGCCACTGCCTGCTTGTGTGTCCCTAGGCTGGGGACTTCCCATGTAGAAGGGCAGCAGTTGGATTGCAATGGGGTCTCGCTGCCCAGTCCTGAGGGCTGCTGAGGCCGCTCCTTTCTAGGCTCCATTGCCAGGCTCAGAAGGGACCGCTGCAGACAGCAGGGGTGGCTCGTCCCATCATAGGACAGCAGTCCTATGGCTAATTTCTGTCATGCAATGAGCTGCAATGTCTGTGGCCTCCTGAGCAGAGGGATCTTCTCCCTGACCATAGGCCAGTGATCGTGCAGGACATCTGAGGAGCCTGTGAGAAGCCAGCGTGGAGCCCTGAGCAAGTTGGAGACCAGAGCTGGGGCCCAAAGTGCTGCCTCTGTCCAGACCTGAATGGGCATGTCCCCCCATCTGTCGGGCTGGATGATCACCCACTTTCCAGAGCTGTCCAGCGGGCCACTCATGGTTGAGTATGGCGTTCCTGGCACATTCTTGGCACCTTCTTGCACATTCTTGGCACAGGGGAGAGACTCTTGCGTGAGATTCCCTCCGTGTCTCGCAAGTTGAGGTTGCAAAGGTTCCTGAAGGCTTTGGCTCGCGCAGGTCCTTGCTCCGATGGAGACACAGTCCACCTCCCAGACAGCTCCCTGATCCTGTGGACAGTGACCAGGCCTATCGTTCCTGCCCAAGTTGGGTTCTCTCGCCCAGGGGGAGGTGTCCACCTTCTCTGCTGTCCTGGGGAGCGGCAGGGAGTGGGCAGGTAGCAGGCACACAGGGGGAGACCACGCGGCCACTGTTAGAGGGAGGTCAACAGGGTGGAGGCAGAAGCTTCCCGGGGCCGTGAGCTTTGGTTCTGAGCCTGTGACGGCACCAGGCGGTGTCCTGAGGGGCGCACTGCCAGCTCTGTGGGGCCACTCCATGGGCTCAGCCTTGTCCTGCTCTCTGGGCTTCCGTCTCCTCATTGTCTCATGGAGTGGATGGTCTTAGAGGTGGCCAGACTGTCCTGGGCCCCCTGGGATGGTCCCACGAGGACAAGCGTCATCCACGGTAGAAGGACTCCGTGGGTCTCAGTGGGTCCACTTGGGGAGGGCCTTCACCCGTGGGCTTTCTGCTGAGAACAACATACTTACAAGGGGGTTTTTCTAGAAAGCTGTTTCTATTCATGGCGTCTGGGCCAGTGACAGGGTGAGATGGGCTTCCAGGAGCCACCGGGAGTGGCTGGCCCCATGGTGTGAGCCTGACTGCACGGCGGACCCAGATTCACAGGAAGGGCTCTGAGCCAGCTCTGAGGAAGGTCGGGGGTGCGGCAGGGAGAGGGGCCTGGGCAACCCGCCCCTGTTCAGACCCTGGCTGCACCCCGCGCCTCATGCACGACCTTGGCCCAGACCCCCGCCCGCCTGAGCCTAGACTTCTCTCTGTGCTGGGCAGTCGATTTATTTGTCCTTTCTTCCTTTCGTTGAGTGGTCATTATTGAACACTTGCTGTATACCCTGTCTACTGCCAGGTCTTAGGAAGAGAGAGAAATGTGCATCATCTACAGGGAAGAGACACTGCGCATCATGAGAGGGCACGGGCCGACATGGACACACGTCATGGAGACCCACAGAAGCTCGAGAAGTAGAGGCTTGGGCTGTCCAGAGCCCAGGGAACCGTCCTACCTCAGGGAGAGAACCCTCCTCACCCCGGGGTCTTACTTCTGGGGTCTTTGTAGAAGTTAGTGCTCTGTGCTCTGTGCAGGTGAAAATGTCCTCACACTGTCCCCGTCAGGCCTGTACAGTGTGCCTCAACTTCCCACGTGACCCTTCTCCCCAGAGCCTTTAATCTTGACCCCACACCACAGGACACATGTGAACTCCCGTGCTGCCCAGTCACGCCGGTCCTCACTGATATCCAATCAGCCCTTCCCTCACTAGTTGGTGGGAACCCTCCACCTACAGACCCCAAACGAGGTGACTACCAAAGCTAGACAGTGCCCCGTGATCCCCAAGATCCCTCCACATGTGGCTTCCCTGGGCTCCTCCTCACCCCTGCTCTGCGCACACAACCCCACGTGCACACACACGCCCGAACGCGCACTTTGGCGTGCACACACACGCCCGAACGCGCACTTTGGCGTGCACACACCTGAGGGTGCAGCCCTTTCAGCAGTCTGACTTGCACACAAAGGAGGGGGAACGAGGTGGAGGGGGTCCTGGAAGGCCTGCCCGTGGTTGGCCACTGATGGCTGGGCAGCCCCTGGTGAGTGGTGCCCTCAGAGACGGCCCCGGGAAGCGGCCTGCCAGGAGCAGCCCCCCGGGGAATTCAGTAGATCCCTTTCCTCCCCCCTCTGCAAGGAAATATCAGGGAGAGGGCAGGGGGGTGAATTAAGGCAAGAGATGCGGTGCTTTATGAAACACAAGAAGAAAAACACTCTAAAACCCATAATCATAAACAGCATATGGAAAAAGGCAAGAACGGGTTGGAATGAGCAGCATCTTTTATCTGCTCCCCTCCCGCTTTCTGGTCAATATTAGATAATCAGAGCAACGCTTGAATTTCACCAAAGGCCTCCTCCAGTTGGAAGGTTGATTTCTCTCTCTTTTTTTTTAAAGAAATTCTCGACATCCATTCTATGGCAGAAGGATTTTCTTTCTCAAATGCTTTCACCTGTCAAAATCCCTCTGTCCAGAAACTAAACAGACCACTCCACTCACTCTGTAGAGCATGGGGGGGGGGTGTGCACGTTGAGCTGGTGTCTACTGTGACATCTGGCATCTCCTGCTGGCCTCTTGGAGGGGTTGGCAGAGCAGGGGCTGCCGATGGGCTCGGGCTCCGGGGCTCAGAGAGGGAGCGAGATTGGCCAGAGCCCAGCGGGGGGAGGGGGAGCCGGGATTCTGCCTAACCCCAGAGCGTGGGGTGACATCTCCCTAGGAAAACAGAGATGGTCCTGGGGCGTTTTCCCCACAAAAAGCCCAAAGTTGATGTCCCCAAGTTCCTGACTCTTCCGTATCTGTTATTTCTCTCCTAGAAATATAGCCACGGGGAAACTATGCCACCTCCCGCCATTCCTTCCCACCTTCCCTGGCCCCTCGGTCCCTTTTCCTCTCTTGATTATTACTGTTTATGGGGACCTGACCCACGCCATAACGTGCACACTCTTGCAGCAGGTGAAGAGTTTTACATACACCTGCAGCATGACATCCGCACTCGGTTCCAGGCGCAGGGCGGTTCCGAGTCCCTGTCGCCCTTCCCGGTGGCCCCCGCCCCAGCTGGGGAAGGACCATCCTGACCTGTAGCGCCTTCGCCTTCGTCTGCTGGAATCGGGCTTCTTGGGCCCTTTATTACATCCGTGAGACTCCTCCTGCAGGTATCGGCGGTTTGCTCAGGTATATATGCCGTGGGGTGAGCAAACCTCCAATTATTTGTCCTTCCTACTCTTAATGGGCTTTGGTTGTTCCCAGTTTTCAGCCAACGTGTCCCGTGTGGCTACGAGGACTCCTAGAGCAGCCGTTGGTGGACATCAAGATCCGATTCACTTTTGCGGATAACTGAGAGTAGAACTACTGGGTCATGATGTATACAGTGTTTGTCTTGATTATTATGATTTGTATTTTATATTCTTTTTAAATATGAAATAATGAAAAGTCAAACCCCATCCTCCCAGAGTC